CTCCATGCTTTGAGCAAAGTTTCTAAAGAAAATGAATGCGTACAAAGCTGCACATCCCAAAAACATGGCATACAATTTTTCATTTTAGTACAGGGAGTATTCAGAGTTTAAAGGTGGCTCCTTTTTTTTATGGTCAAATAGGAAAGACCACATAAGGGCAACTTTGGTCCTCCTGGAAGGGCGCTGACTAATGCTGAAGCAATTAATTGTTAACTGGAGTTTACAGACCCAAAAACACGACTTTAGCTGAAAGATCAAACCACTTAGAGCAGAAATTATACCAGAATTGTAAAAAATGATACAAAAAGATTCTTTCGTCTGTCAATATGCTCTATTCAGATCTCCTGAAGTGGAAAAAATGTAGCTTCACCTGTTTTAATTCTGTAATAAAATCTTCTTTAAGGGACCGTTTGCTATCCGATTATTAATGGATTAAATTAAAAAAATTATTGACGGATTAATTGGTTAGAAATATAACCTTGATATTTCCATTCCAACCTTTATTAAGCTTATTGTTTTATTCACTTAGTTATTTTAGCTTTTACTGCATTTTATCTGTTTTTACTTGTGTTTTTTATATGTTATCATATGAAGCACTTTGTGACTTTGTCTGTGAAAAGTGCTATACAAATAAAGTTTACTTACTTACTTATTCCACCAATCAGGGACTCACCTCCATCAGCTGATTCAGGCATCATTCAGGCTTTATTTTTCTCTGGTTAAACAGAATGGAGTGTGCGGATCAGGGGGAGCAGGAAGACTCTTTGGATTCATTGGAGGAGCTGCAGAGAGAAACGAAGCTAAAGGAGGAGAAGGACAACGTGAGAGAAGAAGAGCGCAGCTCTACGGTTTCTGCAGAAGCCAGAGATGATCAGGAGACCCAGGAGGAGCTGACTGAGCTGGAGGAGGAGCAGCAGGAGGAGGAGGACGTCCAGCTGCTGGTTGAACAGAACGCTCTGATCCAGCAGGTCCTGATCCTTAAAGATCTCATCTTTAATCAGAGGAAAACACGGGACCCATGAATGGATCTCTGTGTGTATCTTCAGATGGAGAGCTTGGTTGGCCGATTTGAGGAGGAGCTGCTGCAGCTGCTTTGCCACAAGCTGCATCTGGACAACTGGCTGAAATGGACCGACCTGCAGCTGCTCATGCTCCTCCAGGAGAGACGGCTTCTCCAACCGCTTCAGGAGGAGGAAAAAACGCTGCAGGAGAAAATCAACAGCTTCACTCAGGAGGAGAACAACCTCACGGTGAAACAGATTTATGTTTTTACTGGTTTTACTTCGTAGGACCAAGTTATAAAACAGAACTTCATATAAGAGGTCCTGACCAGCAGACCTGTGAAAGATCTGGTCCAGTTAAGGTTCTCTGAAAGAAAAGATGCTGAATTTCAGAACCATGAACAGAACCAGATATGCTGAGATGCTTCATTATAATATTATTATAACTATTTACTCAAATAGCTGTATTAAAATCCTTGTAAAATAGCTAAGAATATGTTGTCTCAAAGAAATATGGGTTATTAGTTACACTGCAAAATCTGAATGATTAAAAAAACTGCTAAGCCTGTAGATTAGATCTCAAAGTAATAAAAAAATAGATTTTCTGCTCTGAAAGACTCGGGCTGTTGCTGGAAAGCACTGCAACCCAAAGACAGTGTTGTTTAGGCAGCCTTTCAGGTTTTAGTTTTACTGTCGTCTTATGGACAAAAATCCCCCTTATTTTTGGTCCTAATTTAGTCATTTAATTTGCAAAAGTTTGAGTTTATCTTTTGTCTGTGTGTTATTTCTCCTTATATAAGTGAACACAAAACAAATATGTTCATCATATTTTTAAAAAAAAAGATACACATGTGAATATATTCAACATGCATTATTTACAGGTTATTTCAAAAAAGTTAAAATCAATCCACTAGACTTTGTTTCCAAGTTTGAAGATGTTTTTCTTCCATCCAGGAAGCTTTTTCAATAAAAACAAACAGAAATAGTGATGAGTCTTAACCTGACTCCGCCAGATGGA